AGGTCACCGCCCCACTCCCTCAGCTTCATGCAGTATGCTGTTTTACTGCAAACCAGATCAGCAAAGCTATCTAGTCACCAGTGGTGGGTTCCGGATCCCATTGCAACCGGTATGCTGCTATGGGGCCCGGCATACTTACCACCCGTGATGCTCTAGCTGCTTGGCGGAGCACGGCGCAGGCGCCGTATGCTCCATGCACATGTGCAAAAGTCCTGATTGGCTCAAATACAGGAAAGGAGGGCGGGCGGGCCCTTCGGAGCACCGTACCAAAACGGTATCTGGTGCTCCCAGCAGGCACTGGAATGTCCATACCGGGACGTATTGGTCGTATCCCACCACTGCTAGTCACCTTAATTTTAAATCCCTTTTCCAGATCTGTTTGATTAAAAACTCCACAATCTCTGTTTACCCATGTGTTGATTGATTAACCCTACATTTCCTCCGAAGAGCTCAAGAGGCTGTTTACTTAATACTTGTTCCTCCAATTTTGCCCCACAAGAGCAACCCTATTAGTTTGGGCAAAGAATGAATGACCAGCCCAAATCATTCAGTGACATGAACAAGCATAGTATATATGTCCTGGTTATGGTATGGGGCTAGGACTGAAGAAACCCAAGATTGTACCAAAACGCCAAAAGCTCGAGTGAGTTTTTCACATCCTTGGTTCTATTCAGGAAGCTTGGCTTTAGTACTGTCTTGAGAACAAGCTTGGTTGTAACAAAGGCAACAAAATGTTTTATACGTCTTAGTACATACCTAACAAATTAATGCCATCGTTCACAATTAGTTGTCCATGTCGCAAATAGTTTAAGATCGGTTCAAAGTACTCCGGACTTCGGTCAATCAGAAAAGCTCCGCTGTGATCTCTCTTGTTTCCCCAAGCGTCTGTTGCAGATGGACACATTTCTTTTAAAAAATGCTTTCCTTAACCTGTCCTGAGATAAGATTTTCTCTTCACCCTCCCCGTCTCACCTTCCTTCTCACCTTCCCCATCTCCATCTGTCCCCAGCAGCTAAAATGGATGATCTGCAGCCACATTTAGAAATTACACTTAGACTGGTTGCCATCACAAATTTAGAATGGGGACATAGTAAATAAGGAGGAAATGACATCCTCTAAACTGGAAATACATGTTCTGTTGGCTTGCTGGTGGTTTTACTATATTTACCTTCTAAAAGCAGATAGGAGCAGGATAATGAGATGATAAGTCGTGGTTTTAAGAAGTGAACTTAATACTCCTCCAATTCCATGCAATGGGACATGTTTGGCCCCAGCCTCAACAGGTACTCTGGAGGCTGCAGAAAGGGTTCTAAGGCACTATTTAGAATCTTTTCTGCTTTATAAGCATCTCCACATAGGTGGACTTCAATTTTTAGAATTCACCACTGAGCGTGGAGATTGCTAAGAATTCAGGGAATTGAAGCCCATTTATGTGGAGGGCCACCCGTTGGGAAAGGCTAATCTAAAATATAGTTGAATTACATTACATTTGAATTACATTTCCCTGTATGAGGCAGGAAAGCATCCCAAACCTGTTTACATGTGGTATGTAAAGATATTAGTAACTATGTTCTTCTTTTGTGGCACTTCTGTAGCCCATGGCCAACAAACTAGCCTGAAAATCATTCCTGACTTACTGTATTTTTCGGAGTATAAGACACACCGGATATAAGAACCACCAAAGTTTTGAAGAGGCAAATTTTTTAAAAAGTAGGTAGGTAGATAGAGGGATAGGGAGGGAGAGAAAGAGAAATACAGTAGGTAAGTAGGGAGAGAGAGTGACTGTGTAGGTAGGTAGGTAGGGGAATAGAGAGAGAAAAATATATAGAGAGAAATACAGTACATAGGTAAGTGTTTCTGCTGGCACAGCACTTGATCAATGTATTTCTCATCAATCAGTTAAAGAGCTTTCCAAAAGGGGGGAAAAAAGTTTTTGCACTCTGCAAACTTCCCCCAAAAGGCCCATTTTTCAAGAAAACAGGCCCGTTTTTTCTCCCCCCAAAAGGCATCAATAGCCTTGGAGGGGGGGCTTGCACAGTGCTCGGGGGGGGGGGAACAAAAAAAAAACCAGCCCATTTTTCGAGAAAATGGGTTCGTTTTTCATCAAATAAAATTGCATGCATAGCCTTATGGAGGCTTAGAGTGCTGCTTGGGGGCGGGGGCAAAAAACGCCCCGTTTTTTACTCATTTCTGCCCTCCCCAGCCCCCAGGAGCTCTCTGAAAGCCTCCATAAGGCTATGCATGGCCATTTGGGTGAAGGGGGCGGAGTTTCGTGGGGGGGGGCGGCAAAAAATGCTGCATTGTATAACACGCACCCAGATTTTCAGCCTCTTTTTTGAGGGAAAAAGGTGTGTCTTATACTCAGAAAAATATGGTAAATGAACTGCTAAACTGTTCCTTTCTTCAAAGTACACCTGTGGACATCTCCTCAAGAAGAGCCAGCTCAGGGGTCTACAACCTTAAACACTCAAAGAGCCATTTCGACCCGTCTCCCACAGAAAAAAAACACTGGGAACCACAAAACCCTTTTGACATCTAAAATAAGATAGCACTGCATATGTTATTTGTTTACTTTTATGCTATGTATAAAAAACCCTATATTTATTTATTTAAGAAAACAATGAAAACAAATTTTTATTTCTGAATTCAACAAAAACATTTTGAACTCTGAAAAAAAAAGAAAAAGATGGGTCGGAAACCTTAATAAATCACGTGCTGGTAGGTAACACACATTGGCAGTGTGACACATATTTTGAATGACAGGGTGCCGTAGCAGAGGGATGAAAGAGCCACATGTGGCTCCAGAGCCGCAGGTTGCTGACCCCTGAGCTAGGTAGACAATGCTGTAAGTCCAAACCCTCTTCCTTGTCTATAGACACAAATCTAAAGGGTGTCACTGGGATCTGTGTAGTTTCCTCAGAATCATCTACATCAAGCCTTACTTTGCAACAAAGAAGTGTTTACATGACATGGATTTGCAAAATGGGTACTGGATAGAGCTTCTGAATATGTATCTCAAGTCATACCAACCTTTATCTTTAAACATGTGAGCCAGCATGCTCTCAGGTTCTTTACTAACCAAAGTGCTCCTACGAAGGAAATGTAGAGAAATTAATGAATCAATTGGCCACTTTGGCATTTGGAGTAGCATGGGGATTAAAAATATATATACACCTGGCTTATTTATTATTTATTTCTATTTTATGTTTATTTATTTTCTTTTTATGTCCAAAGAAAGAAGAGACAATAAAGATTATCTTATCTTTATCAGCAAGCTAGGTCCCAATATTGACTTAAATAATGGGAAATGTGGTTCAACACCAGATTGAGAAATGTTGGTTGAGCCTTTAATTTATGGAATTGCTTATTTAAAAAAAAAAATAGAGAAAGCCAAGGCAATGTCAGATTAAACTAGCAATTTAAAGTCATGGATGTTTGAAAAATCATTTGGTCTGGGTTGTATATAATAATAATAACTAACAACTGCCTTCGTATATAGCCCCACAGTTTAGCATGAAGCTTGAATCCAACCACTAAATCCAAAAGTTGTCAACAGCTTTATTAATAGCCAATGCATTTAACTCTTTTATCTTATCTTATCTTAGTTTATTGATTAACCCTTGGGCCATATCAAAGTGCAGAGTTCCAGACACAAATTTTTACTAAAATCTGATAAAAACAGTTTAAAATGGAATTGGATAAAATACAACCTAAAATGAAATTGGCATAAAATACAATAATTTAATATATAAATAAAAGATGATAAAATTATATTTTGGTATCACCCCTACAATTTACCCCACATAATGCCGAACTCAACCAAACATTTAACCCTTAGCAATATTATCTTTCCAATGATGAACTTCCCAATAAGGAAACAGACTCATACCGGGTAGTTGTGAAGTACCGTCCTCCTACATTGAGTGTTATCCAGTCTGAATGAGATCCTGTTAATGTTTCTAGAGAGTTGATGTCATTCTGGGGATCTATGAACATGGAAAGCATATCAACAGACAGTAACAACTTCAGACTTCCTATTCTTCAGGAGGAAAACAACTTGGTGTACTTACCAATGAAGGGTTCATCTTCACATACAAAAAGAACGTCATCATCTCTATAGATTGAAAGAAATTAGAAAGAAAACCAGGGATTCAGAATAAGAATAAGTATATCAGACTTGCTCTGAAATGCAGCGTCTAAGCAATAAAAGTTTAAAAATATGTAAAATCACCAAGACTGGGTTTTTTTTTTTTTTTCAAAAGAGGAAATGAGCACCACTATCTAAAACCATCCCTTTTCAGCGTTTGGTTTTTGTTTTCCTACATTCCACTGCTTCAGTGTCAGGAAAATAAAAATACATTGATAAATCAACAAACTCTCCATGCTCTAAATTCAATTGCTTTTGCAGATGGTTTTGATCCAAATTCCTTAAATGCAATGACATTCATGTTTGGAAAAGTGGGAGAGTTAAGAGTCAAGCTAGAGAGTTACAGTAATATTTATGCAAAGATGCTCTGGTAATGAGGCTTTGTTTACAGCGTACTTCCCAACAAATTCAATAAGCATAGGACTCATGGAACAAACAAACCCTTTTACTAGAAATTATTTGCATAAATATTACTGTAACTCTCT